AAAAAAAAAAAAAAAAAAAGAATTATTTTATTTAACTTTATTTATTTATTTATTTAAATTTGACCAGAGAGGGATAGAGTGTGAGAGTGAGAGAGGGAAAGTGATAAAGCAAGCCACCAGGTCCAGGACTTGAATTGAGGTTGGCCATTTGGAAGTCTAGCACCCTTAGACACCATGCCACCAACCGGCCCCAAGGGAACATATTTTTGTACAGCTATACAATGTGCTTGAGGCCTTTATACTTTTTTGAGAGATTTTTGCTATAGGGTGTGTACACTCCCCAGAAAGACAGAGAGACAGGAAGCAAGGAATACCACACCCTCCACATACTCCCCCCACCTGCCCATCCTCACGTGGAGTATGGCCATGGTGCAAAAATGGTATACTGTATAGGGCACTTACCATGAATGGAGCTTTTAGGACTTGAAGTTGCTCTGGGTGAGTCAGTGAGTGAGTGGTAAGTGAACGTGAAGGCCTAGGACAATATTATACACTGAGGAGACTTTATAAACACTGAACATATAAGCTATGATAAATTTATAAAACTATTTTTATTTTTTTAATAGTAACTTTATCAGGGGCCAGAAGGTAGTGTGGTGGTTAAGGGAGTTGGACTCCCACATGGCCAATCACGGTTCAAGTCCAGGACCTGGCAGTTTGATTTCTCACTTTCCGTCCTCTCTCTCTCTCTCTCTCAATCTGGCACTCTCTGGTCAAATTTAAATAAATAAATTAATTAAATAAAATAAAAATAATTCTTTAAATAATAATAACAACCTTATTTTACTGTCAATTTTTCATTTTATAAGCTTTAAACTTTTTTTTTAACTTTCTGACTCTTTAGTATGAACACTTAGCTGAAAACACAAACACATAGTGGGACTCACAAATGGCATAATGGTTATGCTGGACTCGCTCATGGTCAACTGTGATTAGAGTCCCAGACCTGGCAGCTTAAAACACACACCAGGCAAGTGTGTGAGTGTGTGTGTGCCCAAAATCCCAAGAGGAGACTGTAAGAGAAATTTGAGTCTTAGAAACCTTTCATTATGAAAAACTTACATATGTACAAAAGTAGAAAGAATAGTATAATGAACTCCTATATTCATTATCATCTTCCATGATTATCAAATCTATTTCCTCTATCCATTCACTCACAGCCCCATTGGATTATTAGAAACAAATACCAGGCATCAAATCTTTTCACTTATAAGTGTTTCTGTATGAATCTCTATAAAGTTCACATTTTTAAAAACATTACTAAATATATTGTCCCACCTAAAATTTTTTTTAGTATCAAATACCCAATCAATATTCAAATGTGCTCAAATGTTTCAAATTATTTATAGTCTTTCAATTAAGAAGTATTGGGTCATTAGAAAAGTCATGAACGCATTTTTGTGTAGAGATGTAGAGAAGCAGAAAAATACATCATGACTTTTCTGGTGACTCAACAGTTTACCTAATTCACAATTTTTTAGTATTCATCTTTTCTACACCTTCTAATTTATTAATTTCATATTTTATCTGTAGTTGGCTCTGTCATGTTTACTTCCCTTTTGAGTTTAAGTATCTATGCATTAGACAATTCATTAATAAAATGTAAGAAATCTACATATGGGATCAGCAGATAGTGTAATGGTTACGTTGCTGGACTGCCAAAATGTTAACTGTGGTTCAAATCCCAGATCCAGTGGCTTAAACCTCATGCTGGGATCGTGTGCATACCTGAGATCCTGAGAGGAGAATGGAGGAGAAGGGATTGCAGTGTGGCCATCCCCCCTGGGGGTGATTTCTCACTTTCTGTCTCTCTGTCTCTCTCTTTCCTGGGGAGCACATGAGCCCTATAGCAAAAATCTTTCAATATAAAAAGTAAAAAGAAAGAAATCTACATATGTATTGAATTTTTTTAAAGTTAAACATTCACATAATAGGTTTCAGAAAATGGCTTTCTCATTATTTACAGTTGTGATTTTGAAAAAACTAAAAGCTTAAAAAAAAAATCAGGGTCGGCTCTATTATGAATGACTGCGGTGCTTAAGAGAAGTCAGCTCCCACATAGTGACAGTGGTTCAAAACTTTGACTCTGTCAGCCTTAAACATGCTGGGACTTGAAGTGCCCAGCATCTAATGGACGGGAGGACGGGAGGAAGTGGATTGAGGTGTGACCAGATGCTGTAGAGGATGCTCTTCACAACCTACACATAATATTGAAACATTCAGATGCCTTCAGTTCATTCTTTACTAGATTTCTTCTAGTAAAGTAAGTTTCTGCAAAGACCATCGATAGTTTTGAAGAAACATCAGGCATGCTTCTATTTTACTGTAATTCTCTCCTACCTTCTCGTCTGTGTATTTACTGAGTACCTACTATATGTCAACCACCGCCCTAAGTGCTGGGAAGTTTCGATCAAAATAGGCAAAGGAATGGTCAGGATGCTCTTTTTTATCTGTGCCAATCTACTTATTTAGCTCCATTTTAAAACTGATAATTTTATTATTAACAATTTTTAAGAGCAATTTAAAACATGCAAGACCGGAAGAAAATGGCTGGCTTCACAATCTCCAAATACTTTATCTCTATTTCCATAACGAAAACCCACGAGCCGTAGAGCTTCTGGTATCGGGCAGCACAAGCTCTATGGAGCTCTCTTGCCCAGCTGCTCATTTACAGCCTCAGCCAGTGAGGTCTAGAAGACCTGCGCTACTTCCTCCTGCCTCCCCAGCATCTTTCGAAGAATTTCCCAGGCAGCCGCGCAGGACCGGGAGGATAGTTCAGGCCCAGGCCCCGCCCACTTCCGGACCCGTCCCATTCGGAGACTCAGTCTGAGGGTGGGGCGAGAAGGCAGTTTCCGGTCTCGTGATTGGCTCTAATCCCGCGAGAAGAGAAGTCGGCCGCCAACAGCCGAACGGCGGCTGTAGAGAGGGAGGGGGTGTGGCCGGGGAGCGAGAAGTCCCCGGGAGTATGGGAGAGGGGGCGGGGTCGCGCGCACCGGGCGTACGCATGCGCGCACGCGGCCGGTCGGGCTGGGCTGAGCCGGGAGCGGGTGAC